ATACAGAGACAAGAGTACGAATTAGATATAAAATATTTCTCAAACAATTCTATGTGGACAAAACATTTATTCTACTTTTACAATCCTTAACCGTCATGAAAAATATGGTAAACACTCTCGAAAAACTTTCAAATGAATTATTTATGTTTGTCTTTGATTATATGAACGCCATTAATATATTTGAATCGTTTTATGGACTGAATTCAAGAATAGATAGAATAATTGATCATAAACCATTTTTTCATGTGAATTATCCTAGTGAAGCACCATCACCGAAGATATTCTCTCATGTTTTTCCAACTATTGTGGAAAGAATTAGATCACTAAAATTCTCTGATATAATTTTATTTAACAGCTATAGCGATGAATTATCGTTCATACGATTTTCGATGTTACAACCCTAACCATGGTAAAAATTCCTTTTGAAGATTTAAAGTGTTTTATTCCTAATTTATATCACAAATTACATTGTTTGAAACGATTAGCTATTGTTCAAGGTTTAATGGATTCACCGTTTGGCAAGGCAAAAGAAGAAATCTATGGACTTATTTTGTGTGATAAATTACCACAAACATTAAAAACATGTATTTTGGATCTAAAGTAAGTTTTTGCACTCCGAATTTTCTATGTAGCAAACGGCGAACGAGAAATATATCATACAAGATATATCAGATGCACGTAAAGCAAACTTCGAGTGAAATTTGTTTATACATATTATACATATTAACTTTATTATACATATTCTGATTCGTCGTTTGACGATGATCCCGAATATCACATTCCCAGCCCTTAAAACTCCTTTCATGCAAAAAATCTCAAAATACTGAAAAGACTTCAAAAACTCTAAAATTTTTCATTTTCGAAAAAAGTTTCATAGTTTTTTCCCTTCATGGTTATGAGGCTTGAGCGTCGTATATTTGGATTGCTTGTTCAAAACTAAATCTAGCCAGGGTATTTTTAAACCTTTAAAGCTAAAAGTGAAAGTTTGTCAGAGTCCCAAACGTTTAAAGGTCCATTCTCGAGGACCTCTGTTTACAAACTCTAGACCTTTAATTCACACATGGTTAGATCGGCCATCAAACGAGCTTTAAAAGTACGCAGAGCTTTTTTTAAAAATTTTGTTTCATTGCTGAGAAAGTTCATTTTCGAAGTCAGAGGCGAAAAAGTCGACGTTCTGCCAGTAATTCTCACTTTTCTCGGTCAAAAGTTAACTTCTAAGCAATAAAAATATCATATTTGGAATCAGGATCAAACACTGAATCGACTGATGTGTATTTCTATCCTATCCGACTATAATTTTTTTCGAATTTTCGCATTTCACATAAAGATAGCTAGTACAAAAGTATCTCTACGAGAAGTTCTGTTGCACACTTATATACATACTAAAATAACTCGCAACAATGATAAATGGGTCTATAATTTAGCTGTTTATGAGTTTTTTTTTCCAAAATCTTACCAGCAACATACAAAAGACAAATAGCTCTATAATTTTCAATGAAAGTGGTATCACCTTTTTTATGAACAGTTGTTATAGTTGCGGTTTTCCAAGGGACAGGAAAGATTAAAAATATGAAGGAGATGATACGAAAACCATCGATGCTGATAGTGGGTAACAATTCTCTTCATTAATCTTAGTGTGTTAAAGGCATATCTTTGCGCTTGTATTGCTGTTTTCCTAAACTGGTGAACTGCAATAAAGCTCAACAACAAATCACACATGGATCATGCGTCAAAGAATTGTTTTTCCACACTTCAAAGGTAGCTAATAATCATCATATCGGTCTGGTATCTCGACAATTATCGAGATACCATGTGACATATTTTTGAAAAGCTTTTTTATAGTCCATTTTGAAGCCCAGAAATTCCCTTAGGTAGACTAGAAGCAACTTTTTACCGTCAGAAGTGTTGTGAGGTAAAAAGGGAAGGAATTCAGATCATTTTTGTTCAAAATCATATTGGATCATTTCTTACAGAAACCGTTTCCTGTGGTTTTTCATTCCTTATGTATATTTAGCTTTTTACTTCTTTTTATGAAGAATTTTTACTAATTTTCCAGTTGTTTGCTCATTATCATTTTCTCATACTTCGTTCTCCTTTGTTTAGTATTTTTGGAACAATAAGATTTATGAAACTACCAACAATATGTTTATCAATTGAATATCTAAATTTGACTGGAAATGCATCATATGATGTAATGTTTAATTTCTTTGCTTTATATAGACTACTTTCACATATGCCAAAATTAAAATATTTGAAGATAGTATTAACCACTGCTGGTTATGATGATTCGGTATGGCAGCCAATAATCCATAAAAATATGAATATTTTTAAATGTGAGCTTTAACACCCTACAATGCATCAGCTAAATACTTTATTTTCGAGTTTTCCTAATTTGATTGAATTATCATTATATTGTATATGTTATACCAATTATGAAGAATGTTTATTCGATGGTTTGCAATGGGAAAAATTCATACTAATGTATTTACCAAGATTAAAAATATGCAGGTTATGGTTTAGAATTAAAATGATGAAATTATCCGAAATCGACAAAATAAATGAATTAATAATAAATTTTGAACAAACAACCAACATTTGGAAACAACGAAAATGGCTTGTTAAATGTGAGAAACTAAAGGATGAATTACATTTAGTTCTTACTATACCAGAACAGCAGTTGCAGATGGATATTACAAAATCAGGAGGGTTTGGTACTGATACATATTTTTGATCTTGTTATGGAAATTGAAGTTCATGCAAATAAGACAATATATACAAAACTCTTCTTTTTCTTATCAATACTTTGACAACCTTAATTTTCACTTATTTGATAAAAAAGCAGAATAATACAAGATCCATAATATTACAGATCGTTCCAATTCTGATTGAATATTGATCAAAGCACACTACTTTAAGGAGGTGATGAAATATTGATTCCTTCATAGACTTATGTCCCCGGAGGTTCCTTGGCGATTGATGAAAACCGTATGGCGCTAGCTGGTTATGTTCTCGAGTTATTCGATAAATAGTGGAGCACAGCTTGCTTTTTTACAGTCCAATTACTTTCTCTCTTCAAATAAAATAATTTTTTTTCTTTCTTTTACTTTGTCATCCTCTACATTTCCACTATACCATTGTTCACATTGTGTATGTTTTACTGATATTGACTAATGTTTATCTAATGTATACGGCTTCTCTCTCAGTCTTTTCTATTATATATATACTATTTTCTGTAGTTTAGACCGTAACCATTATCTGTTGTTGTGCTGACAATCTTGTCTTGGATTTCAAATTTGATTAATACTCACATCAAATGTTTCTCAATTCGTTTCGCGAACTTTCGACCGTAGAATTCTCGAAAACTCAAAATTGT